TTTTTTTTATATTTTTTATTTTTATTTATGACAAAAATATAATCTTAACTTGTTCTCTTAAAAAAATCCTTAATCTAAATATCGCCTAAGTTATTATTTCATCTTGACCATTTTTTTCAAATACTTAATGTTGGTATTAAAATGGGGTTTACTAGGGAAGCCCATAATGGTCGTTTGAGAAATGATTGTCCAACTGCCTTAAGAGGGGACATTAGTGGGAGAATAATATAATAAATAGAAAATTGATTCCCATTAGAAGAGTCAAAACCCTAAAATGATGAGAAAACTTTTCTTTCCACCCGACACAGTGATTGGTTTAAAATGGAATGAACAGCTAAGCTTCGCTTTTTAAAACCTAATTAAATATACACCGTGTAGTGGCCCCTAAACTTGATGCTAAAGGCTAAAGCTTTGTTACAATATGCCAATAAGCAATTGTCTACTTCTTCCACCTAAAAACGTGATATTCTGCCAAACACTGTACGGATTGAGTATTTCTTTTCCCATCCTCCTAACTTAATTGTACTTGTACATTAGCATGAAACTGAAACATTACGTATAAATTTTTAAAAATTTTTGTTACTAGAGGCGTTTAATTACACTATTTATGCTATTATATAGTTTACATTACATTTTCTTTGTTTCTTGAATAATCTTAAATTCACATCTCCACAAATTTATTGTATTCTCTTAATTACTTATCTCCAGCGTCTACACGGAAGACAACATTTATCTACTAGGGTTATAATTTATATTTACATAAATGCATGTAAATGAGTCCCTCATTTCCGTGAGAAAAAAAAAAAAAAAAAGCCTTATTTTTCCTTGTCAGCGTACGTTAATATAAATTTAAAGCTGACTTAATGGAAAATTAGTTCGACTTCAGCTTTCCGTTGATAGAGGGATAAAAAAGGACAGAAAAATTAAATTTTAAGGATCTAAAGGAAAATTTTTTAACTTAAAAGGACCAAAAAAAAATTCCGTATAAAAATTGGACTAAAAATTGAGTTTTTCTGTTTTTAGCTTCCAAATATCAATGCACATGGAAATTGCATATATTCTCTTGAAAAGTGCTAACACACACTCTTGGACATTTTCTTTTGAATATTTTTTTATATAATTGAATCATGTGAAATATAAATTTAATATAATTGATGATTTGTAATTAATAATAAAGTTAATATTTTAAAATTTAAAAGTATATTCAATTATATTAAATTTATATTATATGTATTCTAATTACATAGAAAAAGTTTTAAAAAAATATTAGAGAGCGTATGTTTAGCATTCCTCGTAGTCTTTGGAATAATGACGCACTCTGCGTGAGCTTAATACTCCATATATCTTACATTGAACCCATAAGCTAATATTAGCTGGTTAAATTCTCCAAGCGTACCGTTGATTTTATTAATTACGTACCTGATCACTGATATAAAGCTAAATCTATACTCCACCACCATTCAAAAGGGATAAGAATGCTAATAATTTACCTAATTTAATGAAAATATTTTTCAATAAAAATAAAAGATTGTGAGTTTAAGTTATATAATATATAGGTATTATGAGATAAAAAATAATAGTTTTGCACTATAAAATCTAAAAAATAAATAAATGGATATCACCTTAAATTGTAATTATCTTTTGTTGCTAAAATAGTAAAATGCATATTTCCACCGCCATTGAGAAGAAATGATTCGAATCTCCATTTCCCAATCTCATTGCCATATAATTATAAAAAAGAAAAAAGAAAAAAAAACTCATAAATTAATAACACTATTTTGGTATCACAAAATAAAATTTATTATTTTAAGTATAATCATGAGTTAAAAATTCTCTATAACTAAGAATATATTGTATCAATGAGCCCGCCTTAGGTCAATTGGTTAGTAACATAGGTTTTGAGACTCCACAACTTTGATGTTATAGATTTGATATTTTGTGGACGCTGGGCCTTTTTAAAGTTACATTCAACTTATTATATTTAAATAATTTAATCTGCATTATGCAAAATTGCACTGCCTATGTATCATGTTCTACAT